TTCTAGCACGTTCATTCAGAGTTCTGTTCATGCGCTCTGCTACGCCATTCTGCTGCGGTGTTATGGGAACTGTTTTCTTCATCTTAATCCCATTGTTTGCGCAGAAATCTCTGAATCTACTATCTCTGTACTCTCCTCCATTGTCAGACCTCAACCTCTTGACTTTCAAACCAGTCTCATTTTCCACCATGGCCTTCCATTTTCTGAAGGTATCAAAGACTTCTGATTTCTTCTTCAGAAAATAAACCCACACCTTCCTTGTTGAATCATCGATGAAGGTGACAAAATATAGTGAGCCTGCAAGAGATGGAACTGGGGATGGTCCCCATACATCAGTATGAATCAATTCTAACCTTTCTGCCTTGGGTGCCTTGCCAATCTTTGCAAAACTGACTTTCTTTTGTTTGCCAAAGATGCAATCCTCGCATAGTCCGACATCCACATTCTTTAGATCCGGCAGCTTCCCTTTTGACAGAAGTATCTTCATTCCTTTCTCGCTCATATGGCCAAGCCTTTGGTGCCATAGGTTTGATTTTCCATCAGCATCTGCTACTGCAATGATATTCTCTAAATTTGAGGTTACATAAAGAGTACCAGTCTTCTTACCACGAGCAATAACGAGTGCTCCTTTGGTAATCTTCCATTCACAACCTGAAAAGGTTGTACTATATCCTTCTCCATCAAGCTGTCCAACAGAAATCAGATTTCTTTTGAGGCCAGGAATATGTCTCACTCCTGTTAGCTTCCAGGTGGTCTGGTTTGGCAGCTTTAGTCGGATATCTCCTTTTCCGACGATCTTCAAGGTTTCATCATCAGCAAGATGAACCTTCCCAAAATCACCACTGATATAGTTCTCCATGATTTCTTGGCATGGGGTTGAGTGGAAAGATGCCCCTGAATCCAAGATCCATGATTCAATCGGACTGTTGACGCTTAGAATCATGGCATCACCTGTCTCCTCTGTCACGTTGGCAGATTCCTGTGCACCGGTATCTTTCTTTCCCGTTCTGGATTTTTCCCGTCTGGATTTGGATCTGCCACGATTTGAATTTCTTTCTGAAGTTCTCCCTCTGGACTCCGTGTGCAAGGCTGAGGAGGTTGATGCTTCACCCGATTCTCTCCGTCGAATTTCTTCATTCAGTACCAGATCTCGAACATCGTCGAATTTCAATTTACTATTTCCCGACGAGCTGCTAACTGCTGTAACAGTAGCATTCCAACTGTCTGGTAGAGATGATAAGATAATTAAAGCTCGAACTTCATCATCGAATTCAATTTCCACAGAACTCAACTGGGTTGTGATTGTGTTGAGTTCATTCAGGTGTTGAGCCACTGATGCCCCTTCCGTCATCCGCAAATTGAATAATCGCCTCATCAAGTGAACTTTGTTTGAGGCCGATGGCTTCTCATACATACTGGAGAGAGCTGCCATAAGACCTGCCGTTGTCTTTTCCTTTGCTATGTTGAAAGCAACATTTCGGGACAACGTCAGTCGGATAACTCCGAGGGCTTGTCTGTCGAGAAGAGCCCAGTCTTCATTCTTCATGCCCTCTGGTTGCTTTCCTGAAAGAGGTTGATATAGATTTTTCTGGTACAGAAAATCTTCAATATGCATCTTCCAAAAGCCAAAGTCCGCACCATCGAACTTTTCAATTTTCACCTTCCCTTCGTCTGCAGCCATCGCTCCCACTCGAATCTGGCTTCGTTTGGATCGTTTCTGACAATTTCTGTGAACCGCCGTGTATTAGAACACCTCCGTCGACAAACTCGTATCGCCGACCGAATTTCACTATTCACGAAATTCACTATTCACGTGAATAGTAATGAATAGTAACCTCGCAGAAAATTGACAAAATTCACAACCAAAAGCTCTGATATCAGTTGTTAGGAAATAAACCAAGTACAAGTAATTTCCCTATAACCAGATTAGTGAGAATGCGAAATAAAAGCGGAAAAATAATACCCGAAATTTGATAACGGAGTTCAGCCAATTTGTGCTTACGTCTCCGGACTGCTGCAGATCTTTTACTAAGAGAAAATTTACAGGTGTTTACACAACACACTTGAGAGAGAACTAGAAGATTTTGGGATGATTTTTGAAGCTAAATGAGCTAGGGTATTTATAGTTGAAACTTAGGACTAAACTTGTAATTAACCCTATAAAAAATACCCCTTAGCAGCCCCTTAGCAGCCCATGTTTTTTTTTTAATTAAGCAGCCGCCGGCTGCTAAATTTTCTTTGACCGACACTTCTTTCGCCATTACGATACCATGCTGATGAGTGCAGATCAATTTAATGAAAAAAATCATCCCAACGACGAACAATAAATGAAAGTGACTATGGCCCTCAAGTTGGATAAAAAAGATTCCATACAGCCAATGGGATATTTAAATGGTTTGAATCTTTGTGGATAAAAGATAGATTTGCTCATAGAGTGGAGATGATTCCATTCTATCAAGAAATAGGCGCTTGATTCAAGTTTTTTTTTATTGGGGCCTGGCCCGAGTCTCACTGAATGAAAGATACACTGTAATATGAATTACAACGCTATGGACAAATGCTTCAATGTACGGAGGTGATATAGATAGCGATGGCCACTAATTATATCATCCAATTCCCTCAAATATTTAAAGTTGGGATTATTGGTTTTGAGTAATTAACAACTTGAGCTTTCTCTATTGCTACTCGATCTGCAATTTCTATAGCGACAAACATTAAGAGCTAAGAACCTAGTAGCTAAAGAATTGCAAGTTGGCCCTAGGAATAGGATGGTGTTACTGGCGGGAGATGTATAAAAAAATTTGTCCAGTGAAACGTGTTTGAACGTTTCATATAGGTTGTCTGATGTTGAGATGCCTTGTTTGTGTGTTGGTTTTCCCTAGTGAAATGTAAGCTTTAAGAACGCCAAGCAAGCACTGGCAGCACCAGGGGAGCAGGGAGGGAATTTCCCATCACCCCAAATTGTAAACTTCATTTTTTAATATTTCATAATTTTGTAAACTAATTCAGGATAATAATTGCATATTAGTAAGATGAGGTGGGGATGATAATGAATCAATTTAAGTCTTGACTCATTCTAATCTAATTCGAAGATTAAATTCTTCTACCCGTATTTGATCTAAAACGTGATGTAATTTTTTAAGGTGAAAATTCGCTAAATACCCATCCCAACGGCTGAGGGTACATCACAAGAGTCATGGAAGGTGCCTATGCCAAAGATTTTATGGGCTCTGGGCGGAGCTTGAATAAATAAACATCTGATCTGGCCGTCTAAATCAGATAATGAGGCCCAAATTGAGTGTTTCGCCCATCAGGTTTTGGCATCCAATGGCGATAAGTATCCTGTTAGTTTGATGACATGGATCGAAATGGGCAATAGACATTGAGCCCAGATTCTTGTGAATTGAAAAGATTTCGTTTTCAGTAGCATCGCTATGTTTGTGCATAAACCCAAAAGAGCTTTTCATTTCCTAATATTGGGTTTGGAAAATTACGTTGGAAATCTTATTAACCAATCAGCAAATGAAGGGAAAAAAGAGTCGAAGAAATTAGATAAAGTTCTAACAAAAAGAACTTCAATGAACAACCGATGGGGCCTCAAAATATCCATAGGGAGAAAAATGAATGGACGGAAGGAATGGTTCCACATCTACACAATTTGATACTAAAATTAATGGGAGAGCCCTATCACATGAGCACTTCAAAGTCATATCTCGCAAAAGGCATATGCCCCATTCAACCATCCTACACGCTTTAACATTGTTTCTTCTTTGGTTGCAAAACTTTCTCTATCCCGGAGAATTATATTTGTCTATTTATGGTATCATGAATCTCGAAACTTATTCTCTCTCCATCAAAATCAAACTTGTTTTCATTTTTCCTTCAAATACATCAAATTTGGTTTTCGTTGACTCTTTTTACTCCTTTCTTTGTATTCCTCCAATGTAACTTAACCGCATGGCGGGACTAAATTGTTTACTCTCTTACGAAAAAGTTGTGCTATTTCTTGAAACTTCTTCTGTTGACGTTATTATAACATAATTGCTTGATTTAGTATCATTAATCAAAATAAGTCCATATAAAATGTGAATTAGATGAAGTTTAAGATTTACAAATCAAATTATAGTGGTAATTATGTTATTTTAAATTTCTACATAATTAAAAGACATGATCCAACGGAATAATAATCCAAAAATAAACCGCTCTATTGTAGAGTAGAACCTATCATTTTTTATTAGGCAAGTAATTTCATGTATATCCAAAAGCTGGTACAAATAAAGACATGTCGCTCTTTATATAATACAATTAATGGTTATTTGTGGACACTTACGTCCCGCACGGTGTACTTACGGAACACGTTATTATCAATTAATCAGACAGCTAACATTGAATTTGAGCTTTAAAATAATATATACCTCTCCCCTAAAAAAAACTTTAAAAAAAAGAGCGCTTCACCTAAATATTTATTAAATTTAAAGTTGAAACTAATTAATTTTTGGTTCTATACGAAGCTAACAAAAATTATGTGATTAAAACATATTTTAAATCTGGATACGTGTAATTTATTAATAGAATACTTTCAAGCATGTTGTGGAAGGACCTAAATAGCATGCTTTGGAATTAGAAGCATATTTTTGAAAATGTACCCAACAATTTTCAATGCAAAGGCTCGCCAGTCACCTCTGATTGTTTTTGGAGCTATTGTAACAGCGAGGAACTAAAATGGAAATTTTTGCCCAACATCTTGATTAAGAACATAATCTGGATTACCTCTGCTTAACTTCGCTCTAAAACTATCACTATTAGAGAAAATGGAAACACAAGTTTAACATCCAAATTGCAATCCAACAGTAGAGATTTTCTTAGGGCACCTTATTTAAAAAATCCTGCTTGAGCTCCCTCGCCACCAAGTTGACTCATCCGTGTCGACTCAGCCGAATCATTGCCCGTTAAAAAAAATAATGATGGAGTCGTTTTTTAATCAATCGTGATTAAGCTGCTTTTTGCTTCGAGTGGCTAACAAATTGGTTAACCATCGAACCCTGTTTGGCTCCATACTGCATCCCTGACCCGGCTCATGTCCCGGCCCTTGAGGGTCCGACCCACGCCTTCGAACACCGAAGCGCCGCCAGATTTTTTACTACGAGCGTACTCACGCGCCAGGTATTCGTGTGGCGGCACCATCTCCGAATCGCCGTCATCCAATCCGTCATCCGAGTCATGTACCCACTCCACTGAATTAACTCTGTAAATCGTACTCCAGTCAGGCACAACCACTGGAGTTGACGTGCCCATGTGGTGCCCACGTGGCGAATTAGCTGCAGCCATGCCGTCTTGGCTACGAATCTGGTTCACGATCCTAGGTTTCGTTGAAGAAGAATCCTCGAAAGCCAAGGAAAGCCCGCCCACGTGTCGATCGCCTCGGGGAATTCGACGGCGACTACTGCCCCTCACGTCGAAGTTCCCATTCCCATTACTCTCAGCTTCAGCACGTGGACTCCACTGGTGCCTATAATTATCGACACTCCAGTCGTCTCCTCGGTCTGCGACGTTATCGACCATTGACCAAACATCTTCGTCGCCAAGTTCCACGTCATCAACGGCAGTGTCTCCTTGGCCTTGGCCGTGCCCATGGCTATAGCTTCCGAGAAACCGCTCGCTTCTGCTGGTGGTCAACCGTCGGCCTTTTGCCATGAAACAACCAAATTCTACTCGAAACCAAGAACCAAAATATCAATGATCGCAAAAGGAAATTGAAAACAGAATTCCAAAAAATGTAAAGGAAGAAAAAGAAAATTAAGAATCTATTCTAAGAAGGAATGGAGAAAGGGGGGGGGGGTTAAACTGAGTCCGTTAGGGGGGAGAGTCAAACATAAGGAGGCTTCGAAAGGGAAGCCATGAATATATAGCATTTGGGGAATGGGACAGTGGAAACTATTTTCATTTCATGTGAATTTGGGATTCATTTCGTTTCGTTTCATTTTGCCACTGAACAACCACCAATCAGATCAACGGTGTTACGATGATACTATAGAAGATGACAATGTTAACGCAAAACTGTACCATGAACAATAAATAAAAGCTTAAACTACGCTACAGCATTAGCCATCAAGACTCAAATTCTAAACTTAAATCTTAACTTTTTAATATAAAATAAAAAAAACATAATATTAAAATAAAAAATTAAATAATTTTATTAAAAATAATGTTTATTATTTTATTATTAATATTAGGTGATTACAAGCAATAGTATTTATTCTAAAACTTTTAACATTTGACAATAAAAGCTTAAATATCTTACAATCACTAATATCCGAGCCTGAAACCTATAAAAATAATAATTCCTAAATAATAAAAATGTGTTTGCCAAATTTTCTTTTGTTAAAAGAAAATAGAACAATAAATTAAGGGTGAAATACTTAGATAGCCACTAAATTTTCTATTTTTGCCATCCAAATATAATTTTTTTCAAATAAGTTATTTAAATAATATTAATCAAGCCACTCATATTAATATTTAACGAAAATAATGATGTGATAATTAAGTAAATTAATATAATTACGTACTCATTATTTACATATTTTGTCAATTTGATTTTAATTTTAATTAAAAAAATTAATAATCTTCTAATAAGATGATGACATGTGTTCTAATAAGAGTGTGACATGCATTGTTGAATTAAATAATTATTAAAATTAATTAAATTTTAATTGAAATTATAAGATTGTGATACATATAATCATTTTATTAGATGATTATTAAATTATTTTTATTTAAAGTTAAGATTAAATTAATATAATAAAGGTAAACTACATAGTTAATCACTTTTATTTCAATTTTATAAACATATAATCACTCGATTCAAAACACATAATTCGTAGTCATTTTTGTTTTGTTTTAATTAAGATATGGTCACTGAAATGTTGACTTTTGTTAGTTTGATGTTGTGTCATGTTAGTAAAAAAAAGTTTAATTTTTACTTTAACCCCTGAACTTTAGACAAAATACTAATTAGGGATTATTTTATAAATTTAAAGTAATTTAGGGACGAAGTTCTGATTTACCCTTTTTATATGTTTTCTTCCCAACCCCATATTATCGCGCTGCACACCTCCCTATTCTCTACAGCCGTGACCCTCGCAAATCTAAACCCACGGCACCTGTAATTAGTATCTGCGCTGGGACAAGACTCAACAACTGATTGCTAATGTTCGCAAAAGTTGTCTTAAAGGTGAAGCAATTAACGTAGGCCAAGCTACTTTCGATACTATGATTAATTTGTTGTCCAACACTATTTTTTCTATGAATTTGGTTGTTCCAAACTCATCTATTGCTCGAGAGTTCAAGGAAATGGTCAGGGGGATCATGATAGACGCAAAGAATCCTAATTTGGCTGATTATTTCCCTTTGTTTCGAAAGATTGATCCTCAAGGTATAGGACAACGGACGGAAGTTCATTTCGAGAATGTGCTTAATCTTTTCGATAAAATGTTCGATGAAAGATCGGAAACAAGAAAATCTCATGATTCTAGTTCTACTCTATCGAATGATGTTTTGGATACTCTTGTTGACATTCTTGAAGGCGGATTCGAGGAGTTTAATAAAACTCATGTGTCGAATTTGTTATTGGTAATCTTTTATTTCTTTCTTTTTGTTTTGGTAAATGTTAGGTCTTTGGTTTGATCATGTCATATGACAGGTTTTATTTGTCGTCGAAACCGATACAACATCAAGCACATTAGAGTGAGCAGTGGTATAACTACTTTCAGAACTCACATGTTTTACTTAAAGCCAAGAAAGAGCTATAACAAGCAATCGACAAAGGAAATCCAGTCGAGGAATATGACATACATCATTTACCATCTTTGCAAGCAATTATTAAGGAAACGTTTCGAATTCACCTGACTTTCCCACTATTATTCCTGGAGGCGTGTGTTTATATTTGCGAGGGTCACGATGTGCGGCGGAAGAAGCGGAAGAAGATGGGGTTCGGAAAGAAAACAAATAAAAAAATGGTAAATTAGAATTTTGTCTCTCAATTACTTTGAATTTATAAAATGATATTTAATTAATATTTTATCTAAAGTTCAGGGTTAAAATAAAAAATAAACCATTTTACTAACGTATCACATCATCAAACTAACGAAAGTGACTACAAATTATGTGTTTTAAATTGAGTGATCATAAGTTTATAAAACAGAAACAAAAGTGACAAACACGGTAGTTTATCCTATAATATATAAATAATGAATATTAATGATATAAATTTACTTAAGTATTATGTGAATGTTTTCTTAACTTTTAATAATTAATAACTTGATTAATTCTATTTAAATATTTAAGTAATTTGATTACAAATATTATAGTAAAGGGATAAAACAAAATTACCCGCAATTGGAATATTTTTCAATTAGTTTACCCAGTTAACATTGTTAATGAATACAAAATACTATAGGAGGATCTAAGAACAAATTTGAGATCCTTAATTCTATTGATCCTGAGAGTTTGTTACCTATTGAGGATTCTGGTAGAAAACAGAGAGCTGCTTCTCTCGGAGTGACAAAAATTGTACAAGATCTAAAGTTAAAAAAGAAGATCATGTTGAAAAAGTAAAGAAAGAGGACAGAGGTGGTGCTTCTTCCTCCTCCATTATCCCATGTTAGTATGTTTTTGGAATATTAGAGGATTTAAAAATCCTCACAAGCAAAAGAAAGTGTTGCAATGGGCTGTAAATTGCCATATTAGTGTTTTGTGTCTGCTTGAAACAAGAGTTAAAGAAAGCAATTCTGTGGATATTTTGAATCAGGGATTTAGTGATTGGGAATCTTGTTGTAATTACAGTCATGTTGTTAATGGTCGTATTTAGGTGCTTTGGCATAGAAGTCTGAGGTGTGTTGTCTATTCTGTTTTCGATCCGAGTATTTCTATTAAAGGTGAATTTAGGGGGAGAGACTTTTACATTACTGCAATCTATGGTTCAAATCATGGCAGCACTCGGAGACAACTGTGGAACCAATTGAACTCATTGGGATGTGTAATGGGCAATATGCCTTGGTTGATAGGAGGTGATTTTAATATCATCTTAAGTGCTGAGGAAAGCTCAGTTTCTGTTAACGTAACAACTAGTGCAAATATTGTTGATTTTCGAAACTGTATGGAGGAATTGGGAATTTTCGACCATCCTTTTTCTAGACCTCTGTTCACTTGGTCGAATAAGCAACAAGACACTTCCTGGCCCGCAAATTGGATCGTGTCCTTTTGAACTCGAACTGGATTGAAACATTTTCTGACTCGGATGTGAAATTCCAAGCTCCGGGGGACTCAGACCATTGTCCAACTTTGGTTTGGCTACACGAAGAAGCCCCTATAGCTAGACCTAAACTGTTCAAATTTGTTAACTTTTGGGCGAAGCATCTTGAGTTTCTGGCTATTGTTGAGAAGTCTTGACAGGCCCCGATTATAGGTAATCCAGCTCAGATTCTTTTTCAAAAGCTCAAAAAGGCTGAAATGTTGCCTTAGAGTGCTCAACATAGCTCATTTTAATGACATCTCGAACCAGGTAAAGAAAAAGAGAGAGGAATTGATAAGTATTCAGCTTGCAAACTTAAATTCTGATCATTCCAACAACAATATAAATTTTGAATTGGAAATTGGAAAGGAACTGAAAATCCTCGAAGAGGCTGAACTGCTTTTCTACAAGCAAAAAGCTAAAGTCGGTTGGATTAAAAAAAGGATCAAGGGACCCGTTTCTTCCATTCTATGGTGGTAAGAAGGAGAAAAAACAACACAATCAGGGTCCTCTATAATCAATATGGAGCTAGACTTGACACTTTTGAAGATATCTCCAACGAGGTGATCAACTTTTTCCAAAAATAATTAGGGGTTATTGATCCGAATGTCAAGGGCAGTAATGTTGAAACAATCAAAGACCTTTTGAATTATTCTCTACCTTGGGTGTTGCTGATGATCTATGCAAGGATGTGTCTGATATAGAGATAAAAGAAGCCATTTGGGGTCAAGGAAATGAAAAATCCCCTGGACCTGATTGTAACATCCTCAATACCGGGTTAGTGACTAAATTATAAAGTCTTAGAATTTGGTGGTTAAAATAAAATAAATGAATAGTATAAAGATTTACATGTAAATTATTGTGTAGGATGGAATTGAAAGGAAGAAGGAATGGAAGGACAATAGAGTAATTGCAAGGAAAAATAATTAAAGAAAGGATAATTATGTATATATAAGGATACACGTGGGTGGAAGGGGAGAAAACACCCAAGACTTCCAGAGTTCTCTTCTTCTTCTTTCTTCCTTGTGCGTGTGAACCAAAGCAAAGGTAAGATTTCTGATTATTGAGTTTCTTGTTAAATTTAATATTGGGTTTTGATTATTAGATGATAACTAAGCTTAAGGAAAGCTTAAGTTATCTTAACATCAAAGGATGATAGAGTTATGAGAGATTTAAGATTTGAAGTTCTTAAATGAAATATTGGAATAGAGTTCATAACTAGAATTGAAAGTTAAATTTGACTTGTCATCAATCTAGTTAAGATATACGAAGTGTTAAAAGTGGAATTCAAACATGTTGAATTATTGATGTAATTCTTAAATTACATATGAAGGATAAAATTTGGAGGTTTAAGATGAAATAAATGAGTATAAATTAGTTTAAGGATGTGTTCTATAGTTAAGAATGAAAAAGAGGATTAAACATGAAGGATTTAATCCAAAATGAATGAATTTTCGGGTTCAAAAAGAGGATTCTGGGCAGAGTGCATCGATGCATATTCATAGTGCATCGATGCATATTCATAGTGCATCGATGCATATTCATAGTGCATCGATGCAT